CCTTGATCTCACAGAGATCCTCTTGCCTCTGCCTCCCAAGTGTTAGGATTAAAGGTGTGCACCACCATGCTTGGCGCTCAAAAGTTTTGAACAATGATTTAACAATCTTGGAAATTACTCTGGTATATAATCTGTCTGACCTTAAGAATATGAATTAGATTTAACCCAATTAGATATTTCTAATAAATTCTTCAATTGCTTAGAATTTAATTCCTCTATTTTCTGTTTGCCCTTGCCCAAGTTTAAAGAACATAATGAGAGAATTGGTTTTCCTTTTCTACACCTTTTCTACACCCACTGCTTTCAGACATAATCTCCTGAGCAAGATGACTCAATTTACACAAAATTATGTCCACTTTTCTCTTTACAATACTGAATTTTAGAAATAGCAATTTAAAATTTAAGATCCTCATCAACAAATAGAATCTTTACTGTTTGCAGGTGCACACTATACTTTCAAAATGGAGCGTATCTTAAAATGTGATTTGTGCAGGAGTCAACTAATATGCATACATAACACAACATGATACTGCCAATACCAGACAAAGGGGGAAAAACCCTAAAGTTAACAGTACTCACCAGAAAATAATAAGTCTTGGATAATTATTAGATTTACGGTCGATTAATTAAATAACAAACACCTTAGCAACACAAACAATGTGTATTAAAATGTCTACTACTATGGCCATCACCCATTTGGTCTTTCATTCAGAAATATAGTTTACTAAGTGTCATGCACTCATTGCTTTCAAGCCATCATTCAGAGGAAACTGTAAGGCACAACTACAACTCCAAGGCTCCTCCACCCCGGTTACTCATAAATAAACCAATATATATCAAGATACACAAGTTTAAATTTGTCTTAAAAACATAAAAAGCCAGCCTTCAGTAACTGATCTTAGAAATAGCTGTTTCTTATCTTGGACGACTGGAGAGCTCTGTTGAACTGTTCCTCCAAATGTAAGGAATAATTACCAAGTATAAATTACTCAGGTTAAGCAGTTTAAGAGTTTCTGGATTAACATCTAGACCCAACTTCCTAAACAATTTCCCTAACGAGGCAAATCTACCACCCAGGAGAGGATGTCTGGATGAGAACCGTTAGGTTCCCAGTCCCACCCTGGCTAGAAGGCTCTCCGAACTCGAGAGGACTCCAGACACAAACAACCGACGCCGTCTCAATCCCGATCAACGGCAGTGCGAGAGAAGGCGGAGAAGACGGGATCAGTCTGCGGCTGGACATGCGTCCAAGACCCCCGGCCCCTCCTCACCAGCTAGAAGCCCCCTACACCGCAACCACCTTCCTCCGCGAGGTCGGCTTCCAGTTCTGGGGTCCGCCGGACATCCGGGACGCACCCCTGACCCGCAGCCTCTGCAGAAGCACCCCCGCCCCCAAGCCCGGCGTCGCCCGCTTGCTTCAACGTGCTTCCGGGGTCTGGAGGAAGAAGGGAGGCGGAAAGGCGAAGCGGGCGGACTGAAGTGGACTGAGGCGGACGGACCTACCCTACTCGGACCTCCAGGGACACGGGAGGTGGGCGGCGCTGCCCGCAGCCGGCTAGCCACTCACCCCTAGCCTCAGGCAAGCTCCTTAGCGACGTCTCTCCTTGCAGATGGCCGCCATCTTGGGACGGAATGTAGGGGAACACGTCATCACGCTGCGTCTCGTGACGATACAAGCGCCCGGAGGTGCGGCCTACGTCAGGTGCCTATCAGCCAATCAAGAGCGAGTACAGCTCTCCAAAAAAAGAAAACTGGCCCGACTAGGCCGTCTCCTCCCCGTCGATCTCCTCCCCGGCCAGTGGCGGCAGCGTGTGGGGAGGGGCCACGCATTAGCTCCTCCTACAGGCCCCGCCCCTCGGCAAAAGGGCCTTTGGGAACAACCGAACCTGTTAACGGAACTTGGAGCCGGGGGCGGAGCCAGGGGCTCCCGTCGCTCAATCAGCGCTCGAAAGTGGGCGAGAGGTAGCCAATCGCAAGCTAAGAACCGCCCTTGCCCTGAGCCGCGCGTCTAATGGCTGAGCCGGACTCTAGCGGAACAGCGGCGGGGCGGGGCGGGGCCGCACTGAGGCGTGCGACGCTTGAGCCAATGAGCGGCGGCGGCAGCGGCCCGGGGGCGGGCTGAGCCGGGTTGGGTCTGGGCGGCCGGGCTGTTTCAGGCCGCCGTCCCGCCCCTCCCGTCCGGCCTTGGTTGAGGCGGACGGTGGGGTCCGGGCCGGAGCGTGGCGCCGCCGTAGCGCGCAGGGGAAGCGGGCAGGTGAGTGCGGGCGGCGGGCTCCCGCGGGCCGAGGGGACGGTGGCGTCGTCGCGCCTGAGACCGGCTCCGGCCGCGCCCGTCGAGGTCCATCCGGCCCACCGCTTCGGGCTCGAGCGGCGGACGGGCTGCGGGGAACGGGGAAGGCCTGCTGGGCTTTTAGGCCGCCGGCCCGGTGCTTCCCTCCGCTCTCGTGGTCCCGGGCTGGCGGCAGGTGCAGGGCGCGGCCTGGGCGCCGCCCTCGCGTGCGGTCCGGGCCCCTTGCGCGTAGGGCGGCGGAGCTGCGTGCGGTCCGGAGCTCACTTCCTTCCTCCCTGCGCGCGGCCGCCTTGAGAGAAGGCTGTGTGGTTCTGAGGTCCTCCCTCTCCACCCCTCTCCCGCCCCGGTACCCGCCGGGGGCCCGGGTAGCGGCCCCCGCGCCTCTCCCTGCACGGCCCGCTTAGAGAGGCGGGCGGAGAAAATAGGTCATCTTTCTTCCCACGCGCCCCTGGCCGCGGTCCACACGCGACGAGCGCGCTACGAGGGAGAAGAATTCTGTGCTTTTGAGTTTACCATTCGGGTTTCAACTCTTCCTTCTCGTGGCCGCAGCCTGGCGATGCAACTCTGCCTCTTCTCCCGGGTTCCTACAATTGGAGAAGGAGCGGATTAGTGACGTGCGCCACTTACTGCGTGGGCTCCCCCCCCCCACCCGCTTCTTGTTCGGATAGGATGTTAGAGCGATTCAGAAGTGTGCACTCGGGGCATGTTATTTTCCTTTTCTAAATCAACGTGGTGGTTTCGAAAGCAGAAACACTTTGGAAGTATATTGACAGTCATTTTGCCTTTCAGAACCTCTGAAGAGTTAAGTTTTTAGGGGTGGATTTGTCATAATTTAACAGAAGCGCACCCAGGAATTACGGCTGATGCAGGCGATCATGCGTTTGAGGTCTGCCTGGGCTGTCTATCAAGACCCGGTCTCAAACAGAAACAAAAACCGGAAGCAGAACATGCTGAAAAGTGTGAATTTTATCGTGTAAGAGAGCCGAGGTGAATGAGCCTAAAGAATACAGCCACATAAAAGCAGGTTTCCTCTCCGTTTTAAAGTTTCAAGGTTCACTGGAACCATGAGGCAGCGTGCATTTGGGCTACTACTACGGAGTCCTGCTTTACAGAGCGGTTTCAAGGGCTGCTCGGATTGATGTTTTGGTGAAATTCCAGCCATTTAGGAATGAGTTTCTCTGGCTTCAGAAAATAGTTTGGAAAGCCAAGTTCTGAAACAGTTACAGAAACCTCCTTCTGGGACTCCAGACAGCCATGGTCTTTGGCCTTCTAACTCCCCTTTCCTCTCTGTCCTCCTTTTTCCTCTTTAGTATGTTACTAATACCTGATTATGAAACGCTAGTCCAATTGGAGGGAAGTGGTTGCTGCTTTTCACCTCTCCTCCAGTTTCTGAAGGTCTCAGAACTGTCTTCCTGGAATCAGATGATGTTGGACTTGAAGATTCAGGCATTTATCTGGCTGGAGCTGTAGGACTGAGAGCTCAGTCTCTGGAAGTGCTCCAGGAGATTGCCACTAAGGAAGAAATGCTGTCAGCTGGGCCTTGTGCATAGCTACCACCAGCACCTCCCGGAGGTTAAGGTTCTGGGAGAGTCTTAGGTTCAAGGCCAGCCAGAACTCATACCCTTTCTCAATAGGGGCTGGGGCTGTAACTGTGGTAGAATGAATGCTTGCTTATTATGCAGGAAGCCCTGAATTTCATCCCCAATACTACCAAACAAAACATCTTTTCTGTGTTGTGCATATGTAGGCCAGACTTAAAGGTGATTAAACCATTGCCTTAGAAGCACCTGGTAATGAGAAAATGTGGAGATTGTACTCAATTTTATTTGTTCTAAAGGACAATCACTAGAAAATTGTTTTTGTCTGTAGCCTACTGATTAATAGTGACAGCACCCTTCTAACATCATGACGATCCCATGTAGAAGAGAGTAATAAAGTTGGCAGGGTCAAAAGCATCTGCAGGAGCATAGGAAGCTCACCATTGAAAGCCAGATTCCAGAGGTTGGCTCCCAGCACAGCCTCTTCAAATGTTGAGTGCTGTATAGCACTCAAATGGTGCCCCCGAGTCTACCTGCACACACCTTCAAGCTCTGAGCTGTCTGTAGGTTACTACAATACCTGTTAAAATGTTAGTGCTCTACAGTTGATTGTTTCATTGTTCCTTTAGGGAGTAATGACAAAAAGAACTCTGTACTGTTCCATTGGGATGAATCTCCTTCCCCCTGAGTATTTTCCATCTGCAGTGGTTGAATCTTTAGTGGAATTGCAGGTAAGGGAGAATGGCTAGCTCTTAGGCTGTGTGAAATGTTGGTAGATGTGTAAGTGAAAGGAACTACTTTCACATCAGTCAGTTTGAGGTTTTCTAAGTTTCTGAGTGTCTCTGTTTCCCTTTCACCAGCTGTTAGAAGAACAGCTAGCAACGCTGTATCTTTGTATGGGTTTGAACTCTTCTATCCAATGTTCTCTTTAGAAACTGGTTACCTGCTCTTGGTTATGGTGCATGGTGCTTCTGCTGGGGTGGGCAAGTTTTCTAGAAAGTGTGTTTCTTTTCCTTGTACCAAAGTCCTAGGAATGGAGGCAATTATGTTGCTCTAAATAAAGGTAGGACTCATTTATTACTGTGGTATTAAATTACTTTAACATAACACTGAATATATTATTCTGCTGTTACTTTGGGAATTGCCAATGACCAAGTATTTGTTTTCTCAATTAGCTTATGTTAATTTTCACCATTACATTTGGACTCACTTTCTATTACTGAAGAATGTTTGAATTTTCTGTGCATTCTTTTTCTTTTGCTACAGTGAGAAAAGTGTTTATCTTCGTTATCAGCATATTTTAGTTTGTATTTAACCACTTAAGATTATTAGCATAGGTACTGGAGAGATGGCTCAGCAGTTAAGAGCACTGGCTGTTCTTGCAGAGGACCTAGGTTCAATTCCCAGCATGTACATGATGTCCAACAACTATCTGTAACTCTGGTTCCGGGGGATCCAGTGCCCTCTTCTGACTTCCTCAGGTATTGCATGATACAGGTACACTTACCTACACGCAGGCAATATACTCCTGCACATTAAAAAAAAAAAAAAAAAAAAAAAAAAGATTATCAGAGGAAGGATTCCTTGCTTTTCAGATTTCCTGGTTTGCGCCTTTTACTATATTTGGCAAAACTGAGTTCTAGACATTGGATTTCCTTTTATCCCTTCATTATCTTGTTCTTAAAATTGAAGTTGTTATTTTGAAATGAAAATATAATTAATCTTGCAATTTTTTTCTCTCCAGGTTAAAAATTCTAACAACCTATTGATTCATTTATGTTACTTATTTTGTGTATGTGTGGTGCTTGTGTGAGCAGGTGGCTGCAGGGGCCAAAAGAGGGCATCAGATCTCTGGGAGCTGTAGTCACAGGCAGTTGTTGAATATAGGTGGTAGGACCTGAACCCTGGTCCTCTGGAAGAGCAGAAAGTGCTCTTAACCACAGAGCCATCTCTTCAACCCCTGTACTTTTCTTTTTTGAATTTATTTTTATTTTTTGTGTATGAGTGTTTTGCCTGCATACATGTAAGTGTACCACATGTATGCAATGCCCTCTGAGGCCAGAAGAGGAAATCTGACACCCACCCCCCACCCCCACCCCGCCAACTGGAATTGTTAGTTGCCATGTGGCGCTGGGAACTGAACTGCAATCCTTTGCAAGAACCACCTGTGTTCTTAATCTCTGAGCCATTTCTCCAGCCCCATTAATGTATTTTTCTATTACAAAGTAGTTGAGACTTGTTTTTTAAAAAACATGTTAATAGCCTTATGAAAAAATAAACCTTAATTAGAAGTAACTGCAATAGTAAAAGTTCTGCTTTTTGTGTTACATTTACTGGTAACCTTAGCTAGAGATTAGCCTCATAGACCCCATTTTCACTTAGAAGTCTCATTTTGGAAATAAAAAAATCATAAACGAATCATAAAACTAGGGGCACAAACTTAAGTACTGACAATTTTCAAGTGAAAAAAATGGAATGAAACAAATAGGTATAAAATTCTAATATCAAAGTTAAGACTTAACATTCTTTCTTTTCTCAGATACTTTCCCAGAAGTTACCTGTCAGTGAGACAAGGCTCATGATGAAGTTAAGATTTCGAAGGGAATCCAAGTGGTTCTGATGACCAAGCCAAAGGCAATGTTTAACCTTTTACAGGCCTCACCTATGAGGACAGAGCCAGAAGAAATGTTTTAAGTGTTTAAGGAAGCCTAAAGCTTGTCTAGACAATTACCATTAATAGATATCTAGAAGATACTTTTATAAATTTTTTTTATTGACAAGTAAAAATTGCATATACCTATATCTCTCAGTAAGTATTCAGTCTTGTAGAGTTATTTACTGTCTGTGATCCTGAATTTCCCTTTTTTATTTTTTGAGGGTCTAGGGATTCTCAGGGCCTGTCAGAGTAAGTGGTGTTTATTCTAGACCTTTTCTAAAAATCCTTTTTACTTTTAGACAGGTCTCCCTATACTGCTTAATGCTGTACTTGAACTTTTGATCCTTCTGCCTCAGCTTCCCAAGTAGCTGGAATGACAGGCTTGTGCCACCACACTTATCCCCCCCCCCATTGCTTGAGACTCTAACTTACAGTCTTCTTGCCTCAGTCTCCCAATAATCACTGTCTGGTTTAAAATTTTTTTGTTGTTGTTTATTTTTATTTTACATGAGTGTATTGCCTGCATGTATGTAAATGCAACCATGTTATGTAGTGCTTGTGGAGATCAGAAAGAGGCATCAGATCCCTTGGACTGGAGTTACCATCATGCTGGTGCTGGGAAGTATGCCTGGGTCCTCTGTAAGAGTTGTCAGTGCTCTTAACCACCGAGCCATCTCTTTAGCCCCATACTTTCTGTTTTTTAAGCTAATAGTTCATTAGGACATGATATGGTCTAAAAAGCTCTTAGAAATAAGAGGCTTTAAAAATTT